TGATCTTTGATGTCCAGTCTTGATATCTAGTTCTATTTTTCTTGATTTTTGATCCCTCCTGGACAAAAAAAGGGAGTGGGGTTTGTTCATGTCCTTGATACTGTTCATACTTGATACTAGATAGATTTTTGGTTTTTGCTTACAGTTTATATACTTGTTTATATACTTAGTTATTGACTTGATACAGTTGAATAGATGGGTATATAGTATGTTTTTTATGGATGGATAGTATGTTTATGTTTCTCAATTATTTAATACAGTTCCACAGATTTTGGTTGGCTTGTGTGGTTGCTTTTCTTTCAGGTGAATTGTTTAGAGACTTTGATTACAGAAGTGCATGGTTTTTGGGATTAGTTTGTGTTTGTTTTTTCTTGGTGATTGTGATAGGAAAATTGTTTTAGAATGGTTTTGTCCGAGATTTGACAAAGGGGGAGATTGTTAGGACCCTTTGTTGTCAAATTCCATGGAAAAAAACTAAGGTTGTAATCAAGTTGTAATTTTCCAGTTTTCCAGTTTTTGTCTTCCCGCTCGAGTGGGGAAAGTGACACTCGAGCGGGGTTTGCACTCTCACAGCATTTGTTACGTCTGCAAAACTACTGGGTGTTGTAATTGTACGCTCGAGCGTGGGATCTTCTGTTCGAGCGTGAACCTTGTATGAAACATGCAATATGGAGTCTCCGCTCGAGCGGGCATTCCCACGCTCGAGCGGACCGCGCGATCTTAGTTACTATATATTCGTGTGTTGGTTCAATACTAGGGTTACTTTTTCTAGATCTTCTTTAAGGGTCTTAGGGTTTTGTTTGAGGTTTTCTTCTGAAATTTTTGGTGAGTTTTCTTTGATATATTTGAGAGGGTTTGTAACCTATGATCTAAGATACACATATCAAGGAGGTTGATTAATTACATACAAGAGTAGTCTTTTTCGGTGGATTCTGAAGATTCAAACGTGGAGTTTCAAAGGAGTTTGATTCTGTACGTAGTCGTTGATTCGACAAGTTCAGATTAATCAGTTCCGAGACGAAGGCTTGGTGAAAGAGTTACAGAAGATTTGAAGACAAATTGGAGTAGTTGGGTAATTTGTTTGTTATCTTTGTAATCTTTCTTTCTTCAGTAGTGGATTGATTAGTGGCGTTTCGCCCGTGATTTTTTATTACAAATTTACAATTGAAGGTTCTTCAATTGTGATTTTTCACGTAAAAATCGTTTGTGTCGATTTATTGTTTATTTCGAAAACAACAATCTAAATCACTTTCGTAACTGCTTAATGATTTAAATTGTGTGTTTTGAATGATTGGGAATTAAAATATTTTAATCTTGGTCTAATCACGAATCACTTAGGATTTTCATATAGAATTTGTAATTTCAAAACTGGCTCATAGTTCAGTTAATACTTATTCCAGAATATTAACCAAACAGATTAATAATAATTAATCGGAATAGTTGCAAAATTATTTAGGATAAAACAGACTTACGAAAATTATCAAATTAAACTAGTAAGGCCATCTCCAACCGTTCATCAAACCTTGCATCAGATTTGAAATTTGATGAAAAAGTCACTTTTTGGAGCTCCAATGGTTTTAACAAATTGGTATCAAAATGAGAATGAAACAAAAAATTCATCAAAGTGAGAACAGGCTCCAAGTTTCACCATTTTACCGTGCGTGACCGTTGGGGGAGACCAACCGGTCAACCAGCCGGTCGACCGGCCGATTGACCAACCGGTCGGACCGATTCCCTTTCAAATAGGTAGGTTCAAATAGGTCGAAGGTTCAAACAGGTTAAAAAAAAAATTTAGTCTTACCGATCGACCGACCGGTTGACCAACCGGTCGACCCTTCCCTCAATTAGTCTTACCGGTTGACCGGCCGATTGACCAACAGGTTTGATGCTCTGTCGTTTGATGCTCACCATTGGAGGAAGCCGTATCAAATTGAGAAAACCTGTTTTTTACTCAGATTTGGTGAAAAAATAAATGAACGGTTGGAGATGCTCTAAGCCAATCTAAGATCATGAGAATTAAAATTTCATAACCCAATTCTAATAAAGCCAACCCAGCATATATGACGTAAAAAAAAATCGAAACACGAGAGTAGATTTGAAGAAGAGTTACCTGACAGATGATCTTCCACCTGTGCCCTTGCGAACTAGATGTCCCACACCTTTGGTGGTAAGGGTAGATGCGTATCGCGGATGATCGTTACCATAATCTGCAACCAAGATCACTAGTTTACGATCTGTGAGCTGGTAGATGGAGTTGAGAGATGAAATTGCAGGTGAGAGCTTCAAAGATTGGTGCCCTAATTGCCTTGAAACGACCTGCATTGTTCTTCTTCAGTCGGAGTGAACATAGAGAGAGATCGGTCTGCGAACTGGGGACAACTGCGCAGATGGCAAGGGTTTCTATTGCGCCGGTGGTTGAAGGCGCTGTTTGGGTCGGTTTTTTAATTTATAGTTTTTTTTGGATAAATTACACTAGCACCGATATTTAGATTTAATACATATCATCACTTAATATTTTAAAAATTACATTCTCACCTTTGTAGTTACTAGTCTCATTTCACAAACTCCTATTTATATAAAAAGTAACAACTCCTAATAGAAAAATAAATAAAATTACATTGGAAAAAAAAAAAGTAAAGCAAAGAGGAAAAAAAATAGAAGAAATAAAGCAAAGTAAGAAAAAAAAGAGTGTATGAATTTAATATCTTTTTGATACTAACATTAATTCCCTCTAAATAATTACAATGACAAGGGGTCAATGTAATTTTTTATACGTCAGGGGTAATATGTATTGAATCCAAATCTCAGGGGTGTAAGTGTAAATTACCCTAGTTTTTTTTTTTAGGATAAATTATAAATATACCTTGAGATTTGCTTCAAATTATTTTAAAAATTACATCTTCTCCTTTAAAGTTTTTAATTTCAAAACAAATAATCTATTTTATTAATAAATTATCAAATTAATTAACAATTTTTAACGGATATCATAAATTAATTTTAATTAACAATTCAGGTAATTTTATTATAGTATAAAAGAATAGTTAGAAAATTTATTTTTTTAATTAATTTTGTTAAATAAAAAATTCTAACAATAAGATATTTATAATCTTTCAAACTATATGGAACAATGCGTTTTTTAAACAAATCTCACGTAATGTATTTTATCCTTTTTTTTATAGGTTATAGTCATTTAAATTAAAAAAAAAATTAAAAACTTGAAAGGCAAAATTGAAGGACAAAAAAAAATTACAAATGGGTGAAATGGTTTCAGAGTTTCAACCCATATGAAATGTTTATAATTATTTCAAAATGCCCACCAGGTGTGTCTACTTTCATTTTTCATAAATCCACCCATCATTCACAGTTAACCATGACACAAAATACCATGACACAAAAATGAAGGGAGTATAATAGTAACTACCATAACTCTTTCTTATAGTTGGTCTGTCTTGATGTTTTCTCAAAGAGCAACCCTGTGCTGGAGTTCCTTTGAGGGTTGATTCAATTAGGTTATCTTTAAATTATGGATTTTGAATAGAAATTTAGAAGGGGAAAACAAGAGAGAAAATGTGAAGAAAATATGAAATAAAATATTAGCCGAAATTTTTGCTTATTTTCCTTTTCTTTTCTAAATTTATGATCCAAATACAATTTTAAATTCTTAACTATAGTGTTTTGAAACAACTTGAAAGATAAAAGAATCTCAATGAGCTCATAGAAAATACTAATTCAATCATATTAAAGTTACTAGATGTGCTTTCAGGTGTCTGGGATTGAACTCCACCACCCCTGACATCCATTCATGAATTATGACCGTCTCATTTAGAAACATGTTATTTTAATAATTTTTTGACTTTGTAACTAAAATATGAAGTAAAAAAAATTAATATGTTTAGAATGATTTTTTAATTTTTACAAAAAGATGTGCAAAAAGTAAAGAAAAGAAAATCTTTAACTTTTTATATAAGTTGTTGGTTTTTTAGCTTTTTTTTAATGACTTTTTAACTTTTACACTAAAAAGTGATGCTCCCAAACGAGGACCCTGCTGTGTAGTCCTTTCTCTGTTGGCTAACAAAAACACATCTTCACACACATTATGGCCTCGTTTGGGAAGTAGCTATTTTAGTAGGTTATTTGGTTTTTTGACTATTTTAGTAGGCTATTTTAATTTTTGTATTTGGAAAGATGAGATGAATTTTATTTGAGCTATTGTATTGAAAAATATGTTGAAATGATATTTGAATTTAAAATGACAAATTTGTCCTTAAAATTATAATTTTTAAAATTGATATAAATAGGCAAAATGGTAATTTAGCCATCGATGTAACATTTTGAGGCCGTGGGCTGCGGCCTATATTTTTATTTTATTTTATTTTATTTTTTTTTTGAAAAACTGTGAACAGGGCCGCCTTTTTGCTTATTTCTCATTTTAGGCCTCCGTTTAGGAAGTGGGCTGCCTTTTTGACTTTTTAGCGTTTTTGGCTATTTTAGCCTGGGCTTAAAAGCTTGGTTTGGGAAGGACTTTTTGATTTTTTTGAATTTTTTTGTGAGAGAATAATGTAATGATTATGGGTTGGATGTGATGTTTTGTTTGTTATGACTAAAATAGCCTATTTTGTTTTTTGAGTTTTTTTGTGAGAGAATAATGTAATGATTATGGGTTGGATGTGATGTTTTGTTTGTTATGGCTAAAATAGTCTATTTTGTTTTTGTGACTAAAATAGCCAAAAAAACCTGCAAACCCACTTGCCAAACACAGGCTAGGTTATAATAACCTGAACCTCAGGTTCCCAAACAGGGCATATATATGATACTTTCCGGTGCCCTGTTTCAAGTCTTCTACAAAGTCAGAACAACATGAAATGAAGGATTTCCCATCCTACTAACGAGGATTAAACATTCTTTCATATTTATCTGTTTGTGTGCGCGTGTGTATTTATATTAATCTCACACATATGCAGAAGAGAAATTCAAGAAAACCTGTGCAAGCAACGCGGAAATCAGCGACAACGAAGAGACCAAAACTTGCATTTTCAACTAGTGGAAAAACAGTAGATAGATAAACATGTACGGTGTCTAACTGTCTACAAGAAGCTAAATAACATTAAAACCTAGCTACTGCAACGCAAAAACCCTGCTTTTATTGCACATTGTCATTTACAGAATCACAGCCCCCATTCCAGCTTGGTGTAGCTATTAATATTATACCTCAGCTGGCCCAACTTATTTTTTTGCTCAAGAGTAGAGTATGCCAGTACATGAAACCCTATTTCCTTCTTACAGGGTTTTGATCTGATAGCGTGCTGCATACCTCTCCTGCGTTCTTTCCATTTGCTGACTGATGCGACCGCAGCCGCTGGTCCGTTTCTTTTCCGGGATGGTGCTCCGCTTCATGACATCTTAGTCAGAAATCCGGCATACCACTTGATCTAGACGAGTACTCCGACACCAACTTGAGAAACATGGAAGACTTGTCCTCTAATAATCGAGCTGGAGTGTCAAACTCTGCAACTCGACCTGCAAAACATCCCAAAACCAAGTACGATAAAACTAATAACATTGCTAAATGCAAATTATCAACAAGTCTTAAGGCGAATTATGTGGAATTGCAACAAAACTTGCATGCTAAGAAGCATGAACATGGACACAGAAATGGACATGGCACACATTAGCTAGGTTTGGCATCTCCTAAAAAAGTTAAAAAGTCATTATCCTATTTAAGTCACATCACCTCTCTATCACATCACTTCAAACCCAATTCATATTTCATAAAAGATCAAAAAGTGCACTTATTTAGAATATCTCAAACAACGCTAAAAAAAATAGGGTACGGACACAATGGGGTTACAGCCAAAAAATATATATTTTTATAAGAGGCATCTAATGTATATTTGAATGTATTTTTATTTTTTCTCTACTTTTTCCCATATATTTTAATTTAATCCCAAATCAGCTTTCTAAATTGTTTTTTCTTTACCTTTTTTATTTAAAAAAATAAAAGAAACTATAAACGTACTAGGGCATGTCCATCAAATGTCCCAATGTGTCCTACAAAAAATAATAATTTAAAATCAGCACATTGGACACGTGGACACGGCACTCATATTGGAGTGTCGGTGCTTCTTAGCTTGCATGTCTACTAAGGGGTGGTTTGGGATGATCTAAATAAGTGCACTTTTTGACTTTTTACGAAAAGATGTTCAGAAAAGTAGAGAGTGATGTGATGGAAAAAAGATAAAAAAATAAAAAGTGTGTACTTATTAGTACACACCAAACAAGGCCTAAATTGAAGAAATAGGAACAAAGTTTTACTGTACGCACCATCACTGAGGACCAGAACCAGATCGCTGTCGATAACAGTTGGTATACGATGAGCTATAGTGCACACAGTGCAGTCCCTAAACTCTGTTCGGATAATCTTCTGAATAAGGTTATCTGTGGCTGAATCAACTGAAGCTGTTGCTTCATCAAGAACCAAAATTCTTGCCTGTTTTAGCAAAGCCCGGCCTAGAGAAACAAGTTGCCGCTGTCCAACACTCCAGTTATCTCCATTCTCTAGGACTAAAATATCAAGAAAATACAATATCTTGATTAGTCACAGACAACGCTACAAGGAAAGCATCCAGATTAATATTAATAGAGCTTAAATTTAATACTCAAATATTTAGCATACCTGGTGTGTCAAGCTTTTGCTCTTTCTGCCTAACTATCTCCCTGAGCTGACACTTGTCAAGTGCCTGTGCCAATTAAAAATACGATAATTAAAAGGGCACAATGTGAAAAATGGACATGTGCTAAGCAAGTCATCTCTGGTACTATGTTAAACAGGCGAACAAAAAATAAAGGGGAAATGGCATTTCAGTGGGACAGTCCCAAGACAATTGCACTACATATGGGAATCTTTTAGGTGCATAGGATATGCTTGCACCCCCATGAAAATGAGATTATTTTACCACTGTCTCACAGATTTGAGATTCCCCAAAAATAAATAAATGAAACCACTGGAAAGCCAGACTTTAACAGCACAATTTTATTTATTTATGTACTTATTTTTGCAATAATTTATAAAAGGAACTGAGGAACATATGAAGAGTTCAAAAACGAAATTGAGGGAAGTGCAAGTCAAGTAACAAAAATGGGATCACTGTGATTTTGGAATAATTTAAAGGGAAAATTGCATTTAAATGGAAATAAATCAAAATAATTGCACTTTCATAAAGGTGCGAGCCGGAGCAAATTAGAGTTGTGTCCCATCCCATGCCACAATTTTCACTTGCACCGGACACATACTCTCACTACTGAAAGTGCAATTATTTTGAACTGTTACCATTTAAATGCACTTTTCCCTAATTTAAAATCAATTCAGATATCCACAATATATGGGATATTTCTCAACTTCAAAAATTTAAGGACTTGCTAAAATTGTATAGTTATGTGGATATACCAAAACAAAGAAAGAAAAGGCCAAGTAGATTTTAACCTGCCAAATTTCTTCATCTGAGAGCTCCTCAAGGGGATCAAGGTTGCCCCTAATCGTCCCTTCAAATAAGGTTGGATCTTGGGGTATGATACTCAGACGGCTACGAAGGTCATGAAGACCAATTGTTGAAATATCAATGCCGTCTATAATAATTCTGCCACCTGCTGGTTCAATCAATCTGAACAATGCCTGGATCAAAGTAGATTTACCACTTCCAGTGCGCCCAACAATTCCAATCTTCTTCCCACCAGGAAATGTGCAGCTTACCCCATGAAGCACTGTAGGAAGATTCTCCTTGTAACGAACCTTCAGAAAACAAGATATTAATCAGATTAGATTTTTCTTTTCCAAGAGATAGTCATGATAATATTTTATAATAGAAGGGACTGCCCCTTGTCAAGTACAAAGCCTTACTCTTAAAAATAATATATTAAAAAAAAAATTGAATTACAAGCCTAATTCACAGGAAAGAGTCAAGGCATTAGTATGCGGCTCACATGGCATGAGCCTCTTAGTGGAAAAAAGATCTCCATTTAACACAAGATAAAACTAATGCAATTAATGTACAATCACTCTTGAAAATTCTACACAAACTTCAAGTAAGTTGCTGGAGGTCACTATTTCTATTATTTGGAATAAATCGATGACGTGGGATGGCAGTTGAAATTGGAACAAGCAAAGGGAAAAAGGCATAAAAGAAAATAAACAAAATCAATTCTCTGAACTCAACATTATTCTCAATATCAAAGGTGCCTCCCAGTAACAATAAGCAGACTATTTATAGGCAAACCCCAAGGTTCCAAATATGGAAATAAACAATATAAATCCCCAAATAAATGAAACTACATAATTAACTCATAAAATTAAGAAATCTTAAAACCATGCATACATAAAATAAATCAATGCTGAATCTTCTGCCCCCGTCTCACGTAGGGCAGGGTCTCACACATGAATCCCATCAACCGGTGTTTTTAGAATTAGCATAAATAATATATTATACATCACTTAGAAGTAAACTTGATCGCACAATAAATGTGTAATCCCATGAATCAAAATGAACAATAAATAGATAAAAGATGTCTCAAGTAAGCATTCAACAAAAATCAACTAGATTGGGTAAGTTTCCATCTCAGTACCCGAACCTAATTGCATGATGAATGTATAATCCCATGAATCAATATAATCAAAAAGCAGATAAAAGATGTATTAAGTTTCCAACAAAAAGGAAGTAGAACAGATAAGTCTCTTTACCAGCACTAGACACCTTAATCTAGAAGCAGAATGAAGGCATAAGCAGAAGGTGGAAGTGAACAGCATACCTTTAAATCAATCAATTCAATTGTTCCACTCTCAGGCCACGACGATGGTGGACGAGAATCCTCAATTATTGGTGGAGCCTCACTAGGGATTTGGCAGTACTGATAAATCCTTTCTATGGAAATAATTTTATTTTCAAGCTTGCAAAAGCTAAGTATCCATCGTGATAACCGTGTATTCAAATTAAGGCCATATGTCACAGCCAGGCCTGCCATGCCTACATGGGAAAAACACACTTGATCAGAAATTGCATAGAATAACTGACATTTTGTAACAATTTTTAAGTACTAGTTTTTTTTTTTTTTCTTCTTCTTTTTATTAGATGGTTTTCAATGGCATTTAAGCCATTTCCCATTACGAGTTCAGGAACTTATATCCAGGAAGGGTCCACCAGTCCAGTTGTCTTAAGATTCTCAAGTGTGGCATAGAGAACAAGCTTGTGGTTTAGTACAAACCAATGTCAAACCATCTATAGCAATACCTAATAATACATAAGACAGCTGATTATTTCTCAAAAAGGACAATCTTACTTATCCTGACCATCTGGGGAATTTACCTTTCAGGTTATCAGCATGAAGCCATCTCACAGTTCACATGTTTTCAGAGCTACATCATCAGAACAAGAATGCAAGATGAATCCTTTTATCTATAAAAGCCAATGCTTTGTTAGAAGTTATCCCAAATACATTATCTATTCTATAATGGTTCCGTTAGAACGAATGGGGATGAGGGGCCACGTAAGAACAAAGATCCATAAATACTTGTACAAATTGCATATAAGGGGTTTTACTCAAAAGCTGTGGGGCGTCAGCAGCCCCATTTGGTCTAAACGTGGGTCCGCCCGTGGCTGCGTCTGACCTAAAGTTAGGGGAAAAAATCAGCTCACTGGTGGTTATCATAAGGGATGCATGTAGAACAAATAAGGGAATTTCACAAGAAAAAACAAAGCAAATTTTTCCTTTGCTATGTTTTTTATTTGCAGGTAAAATTACTTTAATTTGGTAAACTCAAATGAGATGGACCATAAGTTGGGAAAATTTTAAATGAGAAGATATGTGAAGAAAATAGCATCGTTGGCCAATTTCCTAAGTAGACCATTTTTTTCTCATTTCAATTTAACCTCCATCAGGAACCAGTCCAGTGACCATGTAAGCTACATTAAATTGTTTGAATCCTTAAATGGTAACTTTTTCATCCATAGACTGGCTTAATTTAAGGGAAGGTAAAGTCAGCAGCCACTCCATCCACTTTTTCTTACCATCAAAGCTATAGCACAGAAAAGAAAAGTTTGTGCTTTTACAAAGGCAGGAGCTGAGGATAGTGTCAATAAAAATTGACTACAACTAGCTCGGAAATCCAAAGAGGATCCCATGGTTTTGGAAAGAAACCTTCCGAATAAAAGGTATGGCAATTTAATTAGGGGTGAGGCAACAACGTATTGATAATCCTGGTGTTAACATGATGCAGCATGTATGTAATTATTATAAAAATTTAAAGTAGAAATGAGGTTAACTTTGGGGGAAAGTTTGACAATTGAGATGTTAACATGGATTATGGTATTAGGGAGCTTCTATTTACACACCACAATCTATCTTAGTACACACCATTACTCAATTCACACCTACACACATTTTGATTCTTTGAATTTTGCTTAATTCATATCATTTATCCCCAAATACCCCATCTTCAAATTCTAACCCTAACCTTAACCCATCAGCCACCCATTGTTGCCACCTAGGCCGCCATGCCCCTCCCCTCCTCCGCCCTTCCCCAACTTCCACAATAATCCCAGTCCCCTCCCCAACCCGACACCCTCGCCTCGCTTTGTGAATGAATCCAATTTAGCACTTTGATTTTAAGAGCTTTCCTATTATGGTTAGGTTTTCTACTTATTTACGAGTCATTCACTCTTGTAAACACAATTTGAGAGTTAATGCAATATTGATTTTTCAACTAAGGCCAAGTTTGGCTACAAAGAAAAAAGTGCATTTATTTCATCTTTTTATCTTTTTTGGGTCACATCAATCAACATCTCCTCTCTACTTTTTCTACACATAATACAAAAAAAAGTCAAAAAGTGCACTTATTTAGTCTTTCCAAACTAGGCCTAACTCACATGGTGTCAGAGCGAAAGTACTTGGGATAGGCAAGGTGCATGTCCTTGGCATGCATGCAGAAGGTGCTACCGAGTAAGTACATTGCAGTAAGGGAAGGTGTGAAGCGAAATCTCACATCGCCTAAGTAGGGAAGTAATGTTAAGCATATAAGCGTAAGTGTACTTTCACCTCAACATCTAGCTTTTGGTGTTGAGGTCTACCCAAAACTATGTAACAACCTCCCCCTCTCCATCTCTATCCCTGCAACCCCCTTCACCGCTACCTGCAGCCCCCTCTCCTCCTCCTCCTCATTCAAACTCTACATCTAGAAACTCTCTCTCTCTCTGTGCAGCGTGGGGGTTGCTGACGTGGGGGCAGTGAAGGTGGTGCTTTGTGACCGGTGGGGAGTTACAATGTGGTGGCGCAGTAAGGGGTGAGGGGGGTTGCGATGGTGGCTGGGGCATTAATTCATTTAAACTCTATGGTGGTGGCTGGTGACAACTAGCAAAGGTGGGGAGCGGCAGAGGGTGACGACCGATAGCGGAGGTGGTTGGAGGGAGGCATGTACATTTTGTCCTCCATGCTAATTTGTTCAATGGACACAAACGTAATTAAAAAAAAATTCAGAAACAGTGTGTACTAAAAGTAGTTGTGTACAGGTAGAAGCTCCCATGGTATTAGTACTCCATCCATCCCATTATATGTATACAACTTATCTTTTTTTGGAGTTTCCATTTGTGTATTTGTTTGGAAGGTTTAAAATTTTAATCATTATTTTCTCATATTACCCTTTCTTTACATTTATGTTTAAATACAATCACAAACCAAACTAAACCTTGTATCCCAATCAAGTGGGGTCGGCTATATGAATCTTTTTCGCCATTTTGCTTTGTCAAGGACTATATGCTCAATTAAATTAAATGAACTCATATCTTTCTTCTTCTTTTTTATGAACTTACGATATGGCATTTATTATGAAGATTTCACAAAGATATTTCTCCGAAAAGATAGTCTGTCAATACCTGGAAACAAATCGTTAGGGTTTGACAACTCAGATGACCATAAAATGGCAACAAATGTAGCACTCCACTTTATTAATGTATATACCTCAGATTTAAGAAAAGTCATGCCTTTTGGGTCAACAGCACAAGCACAAGCACAAGCAAACCAGAAATAAGATAACACTTGTAAGGAATAATAATATAAAATAAAATTAAAAAAAAAACACAGAAGTTGAGTTTTAAGAATAAATAGGAGAATACTCCAGAAAGACGCTAATGAATAATGTTGTTAAGAATCAAGAAAGGACACAAATATTGGGTTTTGTAAAGCTGATTAACAAATATTCTTCAGCTAGAAACACCAAATGAATAGCAAATCAATGGTTCTTCAGCTCAGATGAACCCTCTTTCAGAACTCAAAACGTGCATTACATGCTGGTAGTTTCACACTGAAATTTTTAGATTACAAATTTAAGGCAGAAGACTATTAATCACCTGCATCCACAAGCAAGCAATGGCCATTGGAACAACAAGGAGCAAGATTTGCCAGGTAACTTCTGTCATTACACCAACTATACCAAGAAGCTGGATTGTTGTTGAAGCAAACCCACCAAGTCTAAAAGGAATATCAAGATCAACAACACTTTGATCAATGGACACCTGGAAAATTGAAAATAATTTATTACATTAAATTGTGTGAAATAATGGTAACAGGTGGTAAGAGACAAGAACAAAGGCATCACTAATTTGTTGATCTGAAGTGCCAATAGTTGTTGAAGTGGACATATCTTTGAGCTCTAACATATAACTTACACGATTCAAGATCCTTCCTGCTGGAGTGGAGTCAAAGAAGGACATTGGTGCTCTAAACACGCTTATAAGCATTTTTAGAAACAATTTTTGCGCAGCTGCTAGACCAAATGTAGCTACAAGTACAGCTCGGACAAATATAAACAAAGAACTCCCAAAAGCAAGAGCCATATAAACAACAAGAAGGGCCATGCTACTTGCTCTAGGTTGATCTCCTGGAGTTTGAGGATTTGCCCAAGCCATCCACCAATTACTAGCTATTTGAAGCACCTGAAACAGTGTTTGTGCAAGAATGATGAGTGGAATCAGTAAGCCTTTATAGGCTGCAGCCATATATGACAGGTACACTTTCATGTTAACTCGTCCTCTCTCCCTCTCCTCTTCTTGAACAAGTTGCTTTTTTCTTGAACGTTTTGCTTTCTTTTTCTCACTAACTGCTTTCAGGTCTGAAGTTGATACACCCTCTTGTACTTCCTTCGCCAAACTGTCACTTTTATTTTCAACTGCATCGCAATTTTTACACAATATATCATCAGATCCATCATGAAGGTTGCTTTCATCTGACTCTTCAGATAAGTGATTGGGAATATCCATAGATTCAATTGCTTCATGGTGAGCTGAAACCAAAGCTTTAAAATCGGTTCCTGCCTGCAACAGTTCATCATATTTCCCAGCCTGAATGATATGGCCTTCCTTAAGAACCTGCAAACAGAAGGAAAAGAATCAATTTAATACTACAGCTCTTAAAAGACCAAAAAAATTCGAGTTCCATGTTGATACCCAAAAGTGGCTACATTGGGCTTAGAGGCCAGAGTCATAAGAAAATAAAATGTTGCAAACAATAATAAGGAATGCTTCTACCTTAGCCTCCCTCTCTCCTTTCTCTTATGGTTTGGAAATTCTCAAGCTTGTAATATAAGCCAGGTAGAAAACCTGTATCACCATTTTAGCCATTGTTCTGCCTCTCATCCCAAAATTAAGGCAGAAAATTAAACTACAAAAATTGTTTACGAGTGAAAAATGAAACAAACTCTGAATGGGGCGGAGACTAACAAAAGCAGTTCAGCTATAAAGCTTTAAATTAATGAACTTAAACAACCAACAGACATACTAAAAAATCCTTCAGAATAAAATTTAAATGATGTACCCCAATTAATAATATGTCATATAAATGTATAAAGAAAAGCTCATCCCATACCAGTATCATATCAGCGGCTGGCAAAAATTCAACTTGATGGGTTACAAAAATCACAGTCTTTGTGGCTAGTGCTGTCAATATGTATTCCTGCAGTTCCATGCCAAGAGCTTAGCCAAACTCTACTCATTTCTTTTGCAAAGTGGATTATGCAATAAGTAATACCAACCTTAAATAATTCCGACCCAGTGTGCGCGTCAACAGCACTGAAGGGATCATCAAGTAAATAAATGTCTGCGTCTTGATAAAGTGCCCTTGCAAGCTGCACACGTTGCTTCTGTCCACCACTCAGATTTATGCCTCTATCACCAATAATAGTCTGATCTCCATGTGAGAAAAGCTCCATGTCCTTTTTCAGTGAACAAGCATGAATAGCATTCTTGTACTTGGCCTTATCCATTGGGCCACCAAAGAGTACATTTTCTTCTATATTTCCTGATTGTATCCAAGCTGATTGAGAGACATAAGCAGCAGAACCACATACTCTAACCTAAACAAACACACACACAAAAGAAATTACATTGTGAACTGAAATCCAAGATACAAAGGAGCTCATAAGAGCATCTCCAATCCTTCATCAAATTTAAATTTGATGAAAATTTTGGTGAAAATGAGGTCCAATCCTTTCATCAAACTAGTATCAAATCAAGTTTTCACCAAATATTTCATCAAACCATGTATGAATCACCAAATTTCCAACCACCCTTTTTTCACTTAAGTCTGATGAAATTGTTAAAAGATGTAGGATTGGATATTGGTTTTTATACACCTAAATTGATTAGAGGAGGTTTTTGGGATAGGTTAGGTATTTTTAAAAAGAGTTGATGAAAATATTTTATTCTCACCATTGGAGTGAGCTATATCAAATAAAGCGTTGGTCTAAGTTCTCGAACATAAAAATTATAGCTAAAAACAACTTACTTCTCCGGATATTTTTGGAATCTCACCAAGGATGCAAGAAAGAAAGCTCGATTTCCCAGAACCAACCATGCCACAGACTGCCACGCGCATCCCCCTCTCCACTTTCAGTTGGATGCCCGATAATGTTGGCTTTGGAGAAGTTGGGTCCCAGCAGAATTCCCCATCCTTAATTTCTATAGCCACATTCGTGGAGCCTCGTGGTATGACAATGGTTGCATCCCCACGCAACTCTTCCTCCAGAAGGAACCCAGTAATCCGATCAAGAGACACTTTTGTCTGAGCCATCATAGACACCAGGTCGGGAAAATTTCTAAGCGGTTCTTGAAGGATTCTGAAAGTGGCCAAAGCAGAAAGAACACCACCTGCTGTAAGCTCACCACCCAACAATATGGCGGTACCAAAAGTGACCGCTGAAACAAAAATTGGGGAGCTCCAAAATATGAATGTTATAAACGCCTGAGAGTAAAGAGCTTTCCGGAGCCACTTAAATTCCACGTTTCTCATTTCCTCAAGCGTCACTCGGTACCTATCCTCCCAAGCTTGCAGCTTGAGAATCCTCATGTTCCTAAGACACTCGGAAGTCTTCCTCATCCTGTCATCTTTGGCAGCCATTAACTTATCTTGATAATCTTCCTGAACTCGTGCCAATGGGATAGTCACAACGATGGAGATAACGGTAGCGATCAAGGTTGCAACAGATGCAATCCCAACATTCTTATACAGAATCGCGAGGGCAAGAATGATTTGCAATGGAAGCATCCAAATGTCATGGAGATACCAAGAGTAGTCCCCCACTCTCTGAACATCAACTGCCATATAGTTAACAATCTCACCACTGGTGTGATTTTGCCTGGCCAAGCTTGAGAGCCTGAGTCCCTTCCGATATACCATTGCTGTCAGAGCCGACCTCACATGCATACCCAAAATGTCAACCCCAAGATACCACTGCCGGGTTGTTAAGGTCTCCACCAACTTTGCGGAGAAGAATATTCCAGCAAGAATATAACCTTCATTAGGGACAGTCTCATTTCCTCCTAAGTAATCCACAAAGTAGCTAATCATGTATGGACCCACATAAGAAACAACAGTATTCAAGCCAGCAAAAATGGCATTGCGGGCTGCCTCTTTCCAGAAAGACTTGAGAATAGCCCAAGCTAAGGAAGGCTGTTTCTGAGGGTTTTCAGACTTCAATTTCTCCCAATTTGCATTCAAAATCTTATAATTGGTCTTGGAACGATCTTTCTGTGCAAGAAGAGGAATGTCCTTCAGCTCAAGAGGTCTCTTTGCACCAATTGAGAGAATTGGGTTCAACCAGGAAAGTGTGGCCAAACTAAAGAACCCTGCTTCACTATAAGGAGTAACCTTAAGACACCCGGCATCTTCTTCAACAAGCAATGGCTCTTGAAGATCAGAGTTCCGGCATACTTGTATACCGGTGACACCTCTAATTGCAACAAAACAGAGGAAAGCAAGTGCAGGCAAGGCGGCCAAGTTTGCCAAAACATGAGAACTCAACAAGTGTTTTGTACCTTCTATTAGAAATTCTTTCCCATCAACATACAAAGTACACAAACAAATGAGCAAAGACAAAACCCACCACACCCTCAACAAAAATGGGTATTTCTCAGAGGCCTTGAATTTACAGTGAAGGGTTGAAAAGCTCAGCACAAACCAAGCTAAACCCTGAGATGCAGGCAAAACTACAAGGACCCAATTTGAACCCTTAATCAAACCAAAACCATCAAACCCCAAAACCAGTACTTGCAAAACCAACACATAGAAGCAACAGAAGATTGAAGCTTTGAAACCAGTACCAATTTCGATAATCCGAATTTCACCATCAACGCCGCGGCGAATTGGGACTGAATTAGCATTTGAATCGTCCTTGGAGATTCGAATTCGACCAACACACCCCGATATCTGTCGAGCAGATACAATGAAGAGAAACACGAAGAACAATGTCAAGTTTACGCAAATTGACGCTAGTTCCAATGTGGGTAAACCCAGAAACCCACCCAGAAGATTGTTTTGGGTTGAAAACAGAGCAGGGAATTCAGCGAACAAGAGGCTCATGCCCATAATCGATATCAATCTTTAAAGGATGAGAGTAATTGATATCGAGGAGTCGGTACAGATTAGGAATGTCTAGGCGAGAGAGATCGAATGGTGAGAAGGGCATTTCACCATCTGGTGATGATTGTAGTGTTAAACGCGCGAAAACGATGCCAAGTCGCAGAGAAAAAAACAAATAGGTGTTCGTCGAGAGAAAATCTGCGGACACATTGCACATGAAAACAAAGCGATTTTTATCATCAAAAACGCAACACGGAAACACGAAGAGAAAGAGAACGCTTCTCTCTCTCTCTCTCTCTCTCTGTCTCTTTCTATTATAACTTACCTCTATGCAGAACAGAAGGGGACAAAGAGAGAGAGAAAGAAAGAGTCCGTGAAATTGAAATCTGAAACCCAATGGAAAATCCAAAAAATACTGACCTGGGTAAATTCGGCAAGAAAGTCAGTTGGGAGAGCACAAAAAAGCTCCTTTATAAAGAGAAGATCTCAAGAACACAACACCCACTCTTTCTCTCTATCTCTCTGTGTACTACACAATACAACACCATTTGAACAAGATCATGGGTGATGAGTAGGCTGCTGGAATATTTTAGAGAGAGAAAAGGAATCCACCATGCTCCATTATTGTATTTAATACCTACATTACAACATAAGTACATTATAATATCTATATTTTGTTCCTTGATACCATATGATTTGTTGGTTACACTTGTGAGAGTCGTGTGAGAGTTTTGGACTTAAAAAATGGGTACTTTGTTGAATGGAGGATGAGATTGAATGTAGACGTACTTTGTTGAGAAGTATTAAGGAAGAACTACATTTATCAGGAAAAAAAAATTAAAAAAATATTATAGATCTCAAATGAATTATCAAATCTGTCATAATTTATTTTGGATCTCTGGCATTACTTAAAAAATTATAAATATGTAAAGAGGGAGAGGTATAAGTATATATATTGGGATACAAATAAAATATTATAGCATGTAGTGATATTTTTTTTTTTTTAACTCCTACCTATATATAGTTCTCTCTAGTATTTAAAGCAGAATTCACTCATTCTTCATAACTAATAAATAATTATTAATTTAAATAATATTTTCCCTCAAGTTTACACAAATATTATAAATTTTTTAAAAAAATTAAAATAAAATAATATATATTTTAATATGAAAGATATATGATAATAGTAATTTTCATTTATATGGTTATTGATGAAAAGAAAATTAAGTGTTACATAAATTAAAAAGATATAATTATGTTAAAACTATAACTTATTGTATTTTTTATTTTATGAAAAATTATTGTAATTTATCCATTTCTGTTAATTGTTTATGAGATCATAGCCTCCGTTTGGGAAGTGGGTTGGCTTTTTGGCTTTTTGACTTTTTGGCTATTTTAGCCTGGTTTGGGAAGGGCTTTTTGGCTTTTTGACTTTTTTGACTTTTTTTGTGAGAGAGGATTGTAATGATTATGGGTTGGATTTGATGTTTTGTTTTTTGTGGCTAAAATAACCTATTTTGTTTTTTGTGGCTATTTTAGCCAAAAAAACCTGGGCTTTTTCTTCCCAAACAGAGGCATAATCGGATACATTTGTTTTAATGAGATGAAACTCCCATATTGATGCTATTCATTTTAGGGAAAATTACAAATAAGTTAAAAAGTGGTGGCCTCTTTTGGGAATAAAGTAAAAAGTTATTTTTTGGCTTTAACTTATTTCGGGTCGTATCACTTTTTTTTTCATATTTTTTTAAAAATAAATTAAAATTAAAAAATCAACTTTTAACAAATTTCTCAAAACAACCCAAAGTAATATCATTTATGATGGTGCAAGTCATATCTTGTACAAAGTATACAAATTAGAGGTGATTGGACCATTAAACTACTTAAAATGTCACCTGACTCATAAAAATAAATAAAAAATCTTATTGTTGAATGCGTCAATTTTTTAAATGTTTAGTTAAATAAAGTTTCATTTTGATAAGACTTTGTAAGAGGGGTTAATTTTAGCCCACTAAATTATTTAGGCCCAATAGCTCAAGATCTAGCCATTTTGCCTTCTTTTTCACCCAATCTCTTATCTCCATCATCTCCTTTACTCTTGTGTTCTTGAGTTGAGACCATTGAAGAATCTAAGCCTCTCACATTTCTTCTAGAGAATTCGAAGTTGTTCTTCAAGGATCTTTGAAAATCTTCGAATTTTCCAACTCTTTTCCTTGAACCCCCTCCTACAGACTTCAAAAAATCTTGAGCCGCTATTGATACAAGTCTTTTCTATACGATTAAAAAATATTCATATATTATTTGAGACTATCACATTGAAATGTTATTTTTCATTTATTTTATACTAGATGTTTTTAGAGGAATAAACAATTATTTGAAATGATCTAAATAAATATTTTTTTTAACTCTTTACGAAAAGATGTGCAGAAAAATAAAGAGGTAATATGATTTAAATAAGTGTATTTATTTAATTTATGCCAAATAGTGCTTAATAGCAATTTCATGAAAAAATTTATAAAATTAATTTTTAATGTTTTGAAGTTTTTCATTAACATACTATTATTTTTTTTTACATTCCATTTAAATGATATTTTTTAATTTTTTTTTTTATAAACAATGCTAAGAATACAAAATTTAAAATCTCTAATATTTTTATTTTTTTATTCACATTTTATACAATATAATTATACATAATTTTGTCGGTATAATTAATTGATGACGAGACGACGAGGCGGATGAGCCCACTCTTTAGTATTTTGGAGAGGGAGCGAGAGCGTGCTTGTGTTTTGATGAGCTGTTTGCTACTTTTAAACAGTTCGCTTTTGTTTTGTTGTTGTGTGCATGGCGGTGGCGATGTGACGCCAGCACTAAGCTTCTGTTAGGATGTTTTGAAAAGTTGATAAAAAATTTATTTTTTATTTTTTATCAAATTTTTTAATTTTTTGAAAAGTGATTTGAAAAGTTAGTAAAAAGTTAACTTTTGACTTTTTGATTTAATATTTATTTATGGTATCAAATCAAATTAAAATAATCAAAATATCCTTACCCAACATTTGTTTTTTACTTTTTTTTAATTTTTTTGTCATAGATTCCAATTTATAATTTCAACAATTTCGCTTTTTGGTTTCCCAAATGAATTTTGTGGCGTTTTTGGCCGGAAGTTTTTTTTTTCTTTGATAAAAAAACGTGGCGTTTTACCAAACATCCAAAACGGGACAACATTTGTCTTTTGGCTCTTTGCCCATGCATGTATACCAAAACCAAAAATATTAAAAATTTTATTAAATGTTTTATACGAGAGACTCGTATAAGATTCATATAATGTGGATCTTACACGTTTATAGGAAATGATAAAAATTTTAATAAAATTTTTAAAGTTTTTTGCATTGTTCAATTAATAAATCATTTTATTTTGTATTTTTCATTCAAACACAAAAACTGTTACATTTCCCACGTGAAAAAGTAAAGCTAAATTACCCTTTTCTCCTTTTATATTTGGTTCTTTTTTACTTTAAACTTTGTTTGGCAAAAAAATTAGGATTAAATTAGTTATTAAAAGACAAAATAGATTATAAAATTAATAAGATAAAATGTCACATTCAAATCATAATTATTTTACTTTTTTCTCTAAGTAGATATTTCAAAAAATAATTAAAAATCAATAAAAAAATTATAAATATTAATAATTAAATTTATAAATTTTTTCATCAATTTGTATTTTTTTTTCAAACCTTCCACCGGGTTGTAATTCCCCCCTCCCCTAATAAAGCACTCTCCATCTTTGTTGGCTACTCTTTAAAATATAATTCAAAAATTAAATGAATAATAATAAAAAAAATTGTCAAACTTTTCATTTCCCTTTTAGCTCTAAGAGCATCTCCAACGATTCACCTAATGTTTCACCAAATCTGAGTAAAAAAATAGTCATTTCCTCAATTTGATACTGAATGCTCCAACGGTTCACCTTCATCAAATCTCCTTCAGGACAACCGGATGGTCGACCGATTAGGAGGATTTTTTTTTTTTTTAACCTTTTTGAACTATTTGAACCTACCTCCGTGGGTCAACCGGTTGGTCGACCGGTAAAGCCAATTTTTATTTTTTTTTACCTTTTTGAACTGTTTGAACCAGGCCAATTTCGCATGCACTGGTCGACCAGTTGGTCAACCGGGTGGTCGACCAGGTGGTCATCCAAGTGGTCGACTCATGTGTAAAATTCTGAAGCTTTTCTGCTTCAACGGTCACACACAGTGTTTTGATGAAATATGTATTATGTCCTCAATTTGATGAATCGTTTGCTAAAATCTCAATTTGATATCGATTTGGTGCAACCGTTGGAGCACCAAACAGTAACTTTTTCACTAAATTTTAAATTTGATGTCAACTTTAGTGAACCATTGGAGATGGTCTAAGGAATTAGTTGATAAAGCACTTTCTCTATCCTTTTACTTGTGCTTGGATAAGGTTTTTTTTTCTTTTTTCCTTTCTTTCTTTCTTTCTTTTTTTTCTCTTTATGTTAGAAAATTAATTAGTTTGTCCCAAAATATTAAGTGATATTGCTTAAGTGACTCTCAAAAAGTAATAAATCACAAAATACACTAGATTGTGTTTTTGGATCATGAGTTTAAGTAGATATTTGGGAGAAAAAAAATAAAAAAGAAAAAAGATGAGGCAAATGTAAATAAAATATAAGCTAATTTTTTACAAAAATTCACAATTCAAACACAATGTAAGTGGATTATTCATTATTTTTAAATTATCTAATAAAGATGAGTCTACAGTGTCAGACTTATAAAAATTTCACAGCGTTATTAGTTGGTAGCATATGGACAATATCAATTACTATATTAAAAAATTAATGAATAATTAATTATCATGTTAATGCATTGTAAACTATTAAATAATATAAGAATTATGAAACCATATGACTCTTAAGATAAGATCCAATTACTGAGAGTAGATATTTCTATAACATTTTTATAAAAGGAAGTGTCTATTTGATTGCATTTAATACTAAATAATTATGTGTATGTATATACTCCATTTCATATTAAAAAAGATCAGCCATACATGAGCATAAAGTATGAGATGTTTATTCAAAAAAATTATTGATAATATTAAGTTTAAATACCGGTGAAAAGGACAAATATATTACAAATTAACAATATAAATAGAACAAACAAAGAAAATAATTAGATTAATTTTGAATGTTAAAAGTCAAGCATTTGAGCAAAATGTCCCCTAACACTATATATTATTGATTTTTAATGTTAAAGGTTTTGCTCAAAATATCTAGTCCTAGTAAAGCATTTCATGCATTACAACCAAGTTATGATTTTAAATATTATTCTCTCCAACAATACTATGATCTTTTGAGGGGAAACAAACACTCTTTATTCTACTTTTACATTAATACTAATTAATTAAGATAACAATAATTGTATTGTTTAATATATCATTATAAAAAAGAAGTTCCACTTGACACCAACAAGAGTGTAGGCTCTCTTAATTCCACATCACTGAAATAATAAAGTTTGCAAACAATATTAATATAGTTTTTAGTATAAATAAAAATATATATAAACTAGAAAAAGCAATAACTTTGTTTGGTTCCATTTTTTAAAAACAGTTTTCAGAAAATTCTACATTTTTATTTTCCGTGTTTTTTTATTTTTACTGAATTTTTTTAATATTTTATGCAAATTTTTTACTTTTTAGACACACCTAACATAAATACACCTAAAA